TTTGTGCAGGTCTTGGAAGATGCCGGAAACAGTGGAGTAGGTGAGTCTTTGTTCTGGGTAGAGGAGGGAGTGGAGCTGGAGGTGAGGATGACCCAGGCCACAGGCCTGCTGAGCAGGTGGACTTCAGGCTAAAGGACCGTCCCCACTGCAGGCAGGTTTGAAAGCGCAGCATCTGTGGCTATGCTGAGAGGGTGCTGATTTTCCTTTCTTTTTTTTTCTAGAAAAAATAATTCTCAGGAGAACTGTCTTCGAATAGCTTTCATATTAAACTTAATAAACTGACTTTACAATTTCAAAAATTAAATTAAATAGAAAAACTCAACTATTTGTTGTCTCAAAGAAACGCACTTTAAGTATTTGCTTTTGTCTATAATGTTTGAATGTATACTTCACTTTCTAACGTGGACAGAGAAATGATAACTCCCTAGAAATTCCTCCTTCTGCAACGAAATCCTGGCAAACGGCAGGACTGGCTGCACTGAAAAGTTAGGAGGAAAATGGGTTGGCTTTGGCACCCGCGCACCCGCCTGAGTGCTCCCCGACCCCACGCCAAGCCACAGCCCGCCTCCAGAGGCTGTGACTGTTAATAGTTCCCAACCAGGGGGACTCAGGTGTGCAGAAGTGTGTCTCCCTCCTCACCACACACACAGTGACATGTTTGCAGCTCAAGTGCTAAAAACAGGACTTAAACTCAGTGCGTCCGGCTCTAATGCACAGTCCCTTAAATCTAGGGAGTCATTCTGGCGTAGCGACAGGCGTGAGAGAAGAGACGTGGGCAAAGCAGCTTCTTTGTCCTTCGAAACCATTTAAAAAGCCCTCTACCCCTATCTGTACGCGTGACAAACGTCTTTGTGGGGAAGAAAAGGTCAGTCAAGTAAAAGGCACCGTTGGCTGCCCAGGATTCAGGGCCTGGGGTTCAGGGCCTGCACAGGCTCCCTCATGTGTTCTTTAGGCCAGAAAGGCAGGCTCTTCTTATCCCCACATAACAGGTGAGAAAATAGAAATGTTTTAAAAGTTAGTTATATAATAATGTATACCAATCCTTTCTTTTAATAACTAATCTTGTGAGAGTAAAAGGTGAAAAACCGCCCATAGTATGTCAGGTATGACAAACCTGTATTTGGTTTGATCACTTCTTACGACAAACCTGGACTCAGACGTTACTCACACCACGGAAACAAGGCCAAGTGCGGCTCAGGACGGCCTGCGAGGGTGGCACCACCTGCTCCTGCGCTGGAGCCTCGCCTCCGGGGAGCCGCTGGCCGCCCTGGCTCGGGGCTGCCGGGCGGCACTCGGCAGGTTTCCGAGCGTCCCTTCCCTTACAGCCTTTCTCCAGGAAGAAATGAGAGTGACCTTGACACAACGGTACCCAAAGACCTTGAGCAGGAGGTAGGAGATCATCACAAAATACCTTGCACTGACTTGCATGGGATTCTGCAGCTTACTCGTTTTTTGACCCGACAGCACCTGCAGCCCATGTCTCCTCTCACCCCAGAGCAAGCGCAAGACGGACACTGACACCCACCGAGGAGGGCCCCAGCTGGGAAAGCAACTGGCCACAGTACTGCAGTCACATGGGAAGCTGGTGTAGTCTGGAGTTTGGGGGGTCAGCAGAGTTTGTTACAGGGAACTGAGGCTGAAGAATCTCTGCAATGAACTCAGTTATATCTCCCCAAATTCATACGTTGAAGCCCTAACCCCTAATGTAACTGCATTTGGCTATGGGGCCTTTGAAGAGGTAGCTAAGATTAATGACATTATAACATGGGGCTCTAACCAATAGGACCGGTGTCCCCAGGAGAAGAGACAGAGACACCAAGGACGGGCGCACACGGAGGAAAGGCCGTGTGAGGACACAGCGAGAGGGTGGCTGTCTGCTAGCCAAAGAGAGGCCTCAGGAGAGACCAAACCTGCCACACCTTGATCTTGAACTTCTAGCCCACCTGTGGTATTTGTCATGGCAACTAGAGTTGATAATACACCCGCTGTAGGATCCATTACTGATTTAGAAGACAAAATAAAACTCACACACTAGAAAAGTGTTCGAGGGGCAAGACACAAGAACCCCAAGACCATCAGCAGAAGAGGCTAAACCATAGCTTTCCAAGTACACGGAAAAGAGTGGGTGGAGCAGGGACTCTTCCTACTTGTCTGAGAGGGAGGTGGGAGATTCTGTAACTGAGGACTAAGGTAAAGAGCAGGGGGTTGTCCTCCAAATCTTAGAACTTTATAGCCAGTTCTCATCCTAGACCTGCTCACAGCTGAGGAGAGATTTGTGGCCTAGTGGGGAAGGCACCCTTCAAGCTTTCTCCGAGTCTGTCTGGGGTAATTAGGGGCAGGGATAGGACGTCAGAGAATCTGAGGGGTAGGGCAGGGTAAGCGGGTGGCAGAGGGGGAGGCTGGCGAGAGGCATGGAGGTCTTCCAGGGGCAGGCTTCCAGCGCAGTCCAAAAGCTTTCAGCGCAGTGCACTCATTGGCTTGGAATCAGGGTCCAGGAGGGCTGTGGGGGTATTTTTAATTTTGTTTTAATAATTTAAAAAAATTTTAGAGCAGTTTTAGACTTAGACAAATTGAGAAAATAGTTTCCATACACCCCATCCCAGATTCGTCTGTGATTAAAATCGTACAGTAGTGCAGTACATTTGTTACAATTAATGAATCTATAGTGTCACATTATTATTAGCTAAAACACATATTTTGTTTGGATTCCCTTAATTTTTACCTAATGGTCATTTTCTGTTGCAGGGCCCCAGCCAGGATCCCGCATGACATTCAGTCATCGTATCTCCTTAGGCTCCTCTTGGCTGTGACATTCTCAGATTGTTTTTGATGACCTTCACAGTTTTAGGAAGTATGGGTCAGGCATTTTTTAGAATGTCCTTCGGTTGGGATTTGTCTCGTATTTTTATCATGATTAAACTGTGGTTATGGGTTTTGGGAGGAAGACTGCAGGGGGAAAGTGTCATTCTCATCACATCATGTCAAGGTCTATAGTGTCAACATGGCTTATCAGCGGAGATGCTGACCTTGATCACTTGGCTGAGGTGGTGTCTGCCAGGTTTCTACACTAAAACTAGTCCTTCCCCCCTTTCCCCTTCCATACTGTACTCTTTAGAAGGAATTCTCCACAAGGCCATGGAAAGTTATGCTTCCCTCCTTGAGAGCAGTGTCTACATGCATTATTTAGAACCCTTCCGCTTGGAAGATTTCTCTTTCCTCTCATTTACTTATCAAATTATTTACACAAGTGTGGATTTTTGGATATTTATCTTCTGCTTCAGGTTATAAACCTACACTATTTATTTAGTTACTGTTCAACTTGTTCCATATTAGCCATTGGGAGCTCTTTCACTCGGTTTCTGAGCCTCGTTGACATACTCTCATATGGGGGGTTACTTTGAGCACTTTCTTACCTTCTGGCATTAAAACATCCTTCAGGCTCATCTTGTATATTTCCTATATTGCCCCAGTCCTAGAATCAGCTGTTTTTCCATGAGCTCTTTTACTGAAGAATGGTACTAGAAACTAACCAAGATCTGGGTACCACCTACTCATTACTACTTGGGTGTCACTGCTTCTAGGTCCTCTCAGCTCAGACAGCAAGGGACTATATGTGCGCATACGAAGCTATGTATATAAATTTGCCCAAATATTTTTACAAATAACATCTGTTTCTACACTGAGTTAAATGTGAGTTTATACTGATGTCACCGACTCTGTTCCCTATCGCCTGGGTCATTGTAGCTCTTTCCCTGGCTTATCTGTACTGTCCCACTCCAGCAGTGGAAAACTGGCTCCCACCATCTGCTATCCAGTTAAATTTTTCATTGATTTAGAAAGACTCTAAATGTTAGTATCCATTAATAGCATTATTCCTTTTGATGCTCCAAGTATCTCAGATTTGGCCAGTAGGATCCCTTTCAAGCTGTGTCCTCTCTCACTGCCACCAGTCTTTGGGTCCCTCATTGTTTTCTGGCATGAAGATATTCTGGACCCACTTTCTATTCTGTCTTAGATACAGAACCAGCCGTATCTTTAAGAAGCTCTAATCCACCCTCTTCAATGGGATATAATTTACATACCATACAATTCACCCATTTAAAATATACAAACCAATGGTTTTTAGTATATTTTCAGATATATACTACAACTTATTATATTTTTTAGATACATACTATAATCACCACAATCAATTTTAGAACGTCTTCATCACCCCCCAAAGAAGCCACATATCCTTTAACTATCATCCCCAAATGCCCCTGTCTTTCCCATCCCTGGACCGGATGGCATGTATCTTCAGAGTCTTGTGTGTATGTGTGTGTGTGTGTGTGTGAGGGAGAGACACTGGCTGGGGAAGGGCCATATCTGGGAAATCATGACCGCAGAGGATCTAATGCAGAGGGTAGAGCTTTCGCATGGAGCGGAAGGGGGGATTGATCAAATTCCCCACATCTGGGAGTAGGGTGAGGAGAGGCAGGGTGAAGCCCTGATGATCATTTGTGGAAAGCAGATGGTAGACACAAGGTAACAATTAGAATGCGGATTCTGGAGTCCAGTGTTTGAGTCTCAGCTCTGCAACATGTGGCTGTGTGACTCTCAGTAATTTAAAGCTGTGGTCTCCTTGTCTGTGCAGCACCTACTCTCTGCCTCACAGGTGCAGGAACTCAAGACACAGTGGTCGTGGTCAGTAACAATCAATGGGACCTACATAGTCTTGGCAGGGTGGAGTGTCGTGCGTGGTCAAGGCCTCTCAGGGCAGAGGGAAAGAGCCCTCCACCATCCTTCTCTGGGGACAAGGTCCTCGCGTGAGGCTTACTGGAACCCTCCAAGTCCCTGGAGACAGGGTTTTCTGGGTTTGCCATCCAATCCCTCCCTTTCTGAGATGAGTACTCAGGTTAGGTGAGAAAGCGAGACCTTCTGGAAAGGAAATCCACTACAGAGCCTTTGAGAATACTTGGAAAAGAAGATATATGAAAGCATTAAGAAGAGACTCAAAGAAATTCAGAGGGCTATTGTCTTAATTTTTATTTTGCGACTAGAGCATGAGTAAAGCTTTGCATGAGTAAAACTGTGCCCATTCTTTGTACCTTGAACTAGTTACAAATATTTGAAATGCCTATTTTATACATAAGTTTTGCCAAAAATTGCACAACTCTCTCACCTTGAACACAATTTTATATATATTTCTTCTATCATCTCATTATCTCTGTGCACATGTAGTTTTGAAAGTTTTTTTAAATCATAGAACACATAGATTGCGAGTGTCTCTGTCACCATATACGTCTACCGACACGGTTTCACAGCTTCTCTTCCATTACCCATCAGTTGTGAAGGGGTAATTATCAATGACCTCCAGAGACTCAGATGGAAAGGCTGCCTTCGGCCGTAGTACAGCTACTTCTTGTGAAACCTATCATATTTTAGGGCTGTGAACTTTTCTCTTAGGATTCACAAAATTTCGTTTAAAAGTGAAAAATCAAGTGTGTGTGGCAGATTGTGTTCTCAAATATCCATAACCCCCTTTGTATGCAGTAATAAAATTGTAGCTGGGTGCATGGCCGCCCAGCACAGGGTTACGTTTTAGGCCCCTGTTGCTGCTGGGTGTGGCATGTGTGACGTAGTCAAAGGGGCATGCGTCATTTCTGCCTCTTCCAGCTGACGGAACTGGGAACTGCCCTCTTCTCTGTGTTGCTGGTGGCAGGGAGCAGCCACTTTAGATGCGTGAGATGGAAGCCCATGTTGAAGGCGGCAGAGCCATCTGGGCCTGGGCTGGGAACGTTCTCTCCTGTTCAAGCCATCGCATTCAGGGGCGTCTCTGACACAGTGGCCAAGCCATTACGCCCAAGATAGTTTAAATTATATATTCATTTTGAAAAAAGTCCAGAGTTCTGCTTCATTCTTCACATCGTCTTCGCTATTTTGTCTTTCTGCTTGTGGTTGGCAACATGTTGGTAAGTGTTTCATTTTACCGGTGACACCTATGCCCTAAGTGTTCTGTGCACAGAACTCTGTCCTAGGCGGGGTGGCTTCTGCCCTCCAGGCTGGCTGTATTCCAGGAGCGCAGGATGGCCATCCTATAGTGCACATTACATATTACACAGAAATAAGCATTAGGAGGAAGTCAAGGGGGTGGCAGACTGAAAGGACTGTTAGCTGAGAGCTGGCTGGAGGCAAGGGTCCCAAATCCTGGAAACAGATGGTAGTCATAGTGTCCAGTACCCCAAAAGCCAGCCCCGCCTTCTTCTGCCAAGCTAACACTCATTGTTCCTGGCTCACACTCTTTGCTCCTGGCTCACATCTTTTACTGAAAAGTAGAAAGGAAGTAAAGGGAATTAAATTTTATTGGACATCTTGACATTTACTGAGAGGCTGTGCAAAACAGTGATTAAGAACACGGGGAATTAGAGTCAGATATATCAGATATATTAGCTGCAGGGTTTGATAAGTAACTTAATCTCAGTGTTTTCATTTGCAAAATGGGAATAATACCAAGTTCAAAGTTTTCTGGACACTGAATAAACTCACACACCTAATGCTGGAGGCGGCTGACAGGCGGCGTGTCTGACCGTCCACTCTGCTCTCCTGTGGTGCCCAGCGCGTCCCACTCCCCGCCTCCACCCTGTAACCTGGGCGGGCTCTTTCCCACTTCACAGATGAGGAAAGGGAAGGAAAGAACCTGCGTGGGAGGCTCCTCCTAGGAGCCGTCCTGCGAACCAAGGCGCGGGAGCGCGGCTGTTGAGACGGTTCGGGCCGTGGACGGAGGTGGGACGGAGGCCGCGCCCGCCCGGGGACGGCGGTGGGACGGAGGCCGCGCCCGCCCGGGGACGGC